ACATGGATAAAAAATATGACACATATACAATGAAGTACTACTGTGCTATAAAGAAGAATAAACTCAGGTCATTTGTAGGAAAGTAGATGCAATTTGAGACCAAAAGTTTAAGTGAAATAAATCAGACACATAAGCTTAAATATTTTATGGTTTCTTTTATATAAGAAACCCAAAACATAAATAAATTGAAGAGGAAATTAAAGATAGTAGGAAACAGGGAGGTGTATCTTATACAAAAGGGAAGGAGATTTAGAAATGGAGAGGGGGCAGGGAAGGGAAGGAAAAGTGATGAAGAAATGAATGAAGATGTGTTATGTACGTGGACCAACTCCCCAGGATGAATATAATCATTACATACTGCAACCATGTACTAATTTAAATAAAAATTTTAAAAATGAGTTGTTAAATAAAATCCACTGAGAAGTTCATATAATGTATGATCCTTCTGATAGTTGGATTTTACCCATGAGATGCTCATAAACTTGAGGTAATGCTTCCTGGGTGATGTCTCACTTGGACTTTGGAAAGGTGCTACACTGTGTGGGTGCTGGAAAATTATATTCTCTCTAAAAATAAATACCCGCGCTATGTGTCTTTTGTTTCCCCTCAAGTGTAGAGTCAGAGGCTTGAATAATCAGACAGCTGGGGTTTATGAGAGGCCACACTGCAAGTGAAATTCTTGAGGCTTCTCCAAGGATTTTTCTCATGAGGTGGCAAACACTTAGAAACAAAATGAAACCATCGTAAGCCTTGGTTTCACTACAGAGCTTTCATTTTACACAGCTTCTCTTTTAGAGTTTTAAATGTATAAGTCAAAGTGTATATGTATGCAGATGGAATTGAGGTATTAAGGAGTTACTAAGAAGCTTCGAAGTTAATGGACCTTTATAAAATACAACAGGATTCCTGGTCTTGCTGCTTACTTAACTGTGTACTGGCCAAGGTACTGTGTTTAATCTTGCGGGAGGGTAGTGTGACTATCAAGCACAATGTACATAGAATGTCTGATGTAAACCTTTAAAAATGGTCAGTCTACAGGGTGTGTGTAGAGCCATGAAGGAAAGGCACATCTCAGGAGGAGAGCTGAGTCTTTCCTGAGGGCCTTAGGTGTTATGCATAAACTTCATGGCCCCTGAATGAAACCAAATAACTTTTGTAATTATAAGTCTAAATTTTTTTTATTTTAAAGAGTAGTAAGAAAAAAGAATAATAGCAGCATACCAACTTCACAGACATAAACAAAACAAAGCAAGAACATTAAAAGTGATACAGGGTTTCAAAACAAAATGATAAGAATTAACAGTGGTTGTTATATTACATATTGTTATCTTCAGTGAAGTTGCTCAGATTACCAGATGTAAGAATGGAATATTGTTCAAACCATTAAAGAGAATAAGAAATAATTATTAAATAAAACATTAAAGATAATGCAGAGTTTCATTAGACAGCATGGTAGGAATTCACCAATGGTTGTTCCATTGCATATTGTTGTCTTCAAATCAGTTACTCAGATTACCAGATACAAGCATGCAAAATTGGTCAAAATTTAAAAAATTTTAAGCATTAACTGTTGCTTTCAATAAACCATCAGACATCAGCAGTACAGTTATCCCAGCTATTCTTCTATGCATAAACATGCACACACACACACACACACACACACACACACACATCTATTTTGCCTTCATTCTTTCTTCTTCTTTCCCTCATCCCAGTTGTTCCTTCCTTTGAGCAATTTCTTTCCCATTCATATCATCTATTGTACTATAAGTCTAAATTTTTTTTTTTTTTTTTACTGGGAATCGAACTCAAGACCTTGCGCTTGCCAGGCAGGTGCTTATTTCTTAAAGGTAAAAGTTTCATCTTCATTGATCTCATTTTAGTACATGGTGAGATATATGGGTCTATATTCAGTGTTTAGCATGTGGATAGCCAGTTATTCATGCATTTTGCTCTATCTGAAGTGGTAGGAATGAAAACCTACTAGGACTAACTGGCTGAGGGTTCTTTTCTCAGTTGGTGTAGAAATCATGAATTAGCAAATTGTAGCTCTTTTAGTATTTACAGCCTTGACCTTTGAATGTCCGTGGTTGTCAGCTCTTGGTGTTCGCGGCCCTTCTCTCAGCATGGAGCAAACATGGAGCAAAGGCCCAGGAATGCCTTTAGCTGCCCGAGATGGTGGCTTCCAGCAATTCTGCGTTGTTCTGTGGCTGCTAGTCACTTTGAGGTCCCCAGTCCCAGAGGCTGACTGCTTTTGTTGACAGTGTCCTTTGGCGTTACCACTTCTCAGTACACTAGCTCAGTATACTCTGAGTTAGAAATCACAAATAGGCAAGCATATGCCTTCCGAAAGAGGGCTTTTTTTTTTTAGTTCATATTGTGTAGCACAAGGGAAGACAGGGCATGGATGGGCTCACTAAGCACATGGGAAGGTGGCTTATGTAGGGATGAATGGTGGGCTTATGCAGAGGCAGTGTCACACTTTGTGTTCGGTCATGGGTAAGGCAGGGACCCCTCACTCACCTGACTGAAGAAGGTTATAGACGGGCAGAATCATCCAGAGAGGCCGTGGGATGGAGTCACCCGAAGGGGCTACAGGCCGAGTCGACGTGGACAGGTCCGTGACTGAAGCTTTGCGGTAGGTGAGGCGGATATCCCCTGGAGCAGCCATGGGGCACTTTCTGTAACTGTGGCTGGCTGTGAGGTATTTGGGACAGCTGCAGAAAGAATGAAAAATTATCTTTTGGGGAGCATTAGGCCCGTCTCCCCTGTCTCACTACTGCCTGGAACTTATTTTATTTCCTAAGCTATCAGTCATTATATTGATCACCTCAAGGCATAACAAACCTATACACTAATATTTTTGGCCTAAATGACTTGATTTTGTCTACACAGCCAAATTTGTACTTGGTTTTCATATACAATAGATGATTATTATATTGAACAGTTCATTACCAGATTCCAGCATCTTGCAAACTGTGAGATTTTCACGTAAGAAACAGTGGAAAAATAAACTGTATTTCTACATGTGATGCTTTTGCATAATTTTGCTGGTAGTAGTTGACTAAAATACTGGAAATTGTCTCTAAGTTCAGTTATTTAAATAATTGTTTTATCCAGGTGATGCATTCCGGGGCCTCCGAAAAGAAGACAATCAAAATGCAATGCCTTTCAGCACACCCGATGTTGACAATGACGGGTGCCGCCCTGCGTGCCTCCTCCGGGGTCAGTCTGTGAAGAGCTGCAGTCACCTCAGAAACAACACGGGCTGGTGGTTCAGCCAGTGTGGCCTAGCAAATTTAAATGGCATCCATCACTTCCCTGGAAAACTGCTTGCCAGTGGAATTCAGTGGGGCACGTGGACCAAGAACAAGTCACCCATCAAGATTAAATCTGTCTCAATGAAAATTAGAAGAACTTCCAATCCATACTTTAAGTAAGCACACTTCAAATTGTGTGCAAGCCCTATGATTATTTTTGATGTTATATTAAAGATTTTACATAGTTTCTCTCTTTACTATGGTTTCTAACACATTAGCTAAAGTTTTACTATAGATGACATTTTGGTATTAGAGGTTTAATCAGAAAACTTCACTTTTGTAGCATTTTATAAAAAAACCTACATTTTTACTACTAACAATATTGATTAAAATGTAGTACAATCTATTTTGAATGAATTACAATTTGTAATCCTGAAACTTACACTCCTTTGAAGGGACTTTACCTTCTCTTTGAAACATATAACAAAAGGTTAGAAAAATTCAAGAAAGTATTTTACTTATTACTATATTCACTTTATATGATTAATTATATAATCTACAGATACTTTATGTTGGAGAAAACTATAAGGAATAACTTTTAATCAGATTAATATATAAATTCCACATGTTTAAATCATTATTCTTAGGTGATGCCATATATTTTACAAGTAATGTGCTTGCTGCCAAAATAAAGTCTATTTTGCTTTCATATTTCATCTTGGTTAATAATTTTGTTCTTAGCCAGGTGTGGTAGCAATGTCCATAATCCTATCTACTTGCAAGGCAGAGGCAAGAGAGTCAGAAGTTCAACCTGGACAATTTAGTGAAGCCCTGTCTCAAAATAAAAAATAAACACACTGGAGATGTAGCTCAGTGACGGAGCATCCTTGGGTTCCGTCCACAGTACTGAAAACGACTGTTGTCTGTAATAAATGTAGCGCACATCCTGATCAGTTGCATTCTAAAACAATTTATATCTTAACTTTACCCAGTAGGAATAGTATGAACTTTATGCAGGAGCAGTGGAGAAAGAGTGAGGAATCAGTGGTCTAGTTGTGCTTGGAGCAAGCTGGATCTCTCCACTTTTCCTCAGATGGCCAAGAATTCCATGGGAGAAGACAGCAGGGAGCATGCTTGCACAGTGTCAATTATTGGTGAGCGATAAGAGAAACAGAAATAGTTTTGAACAAGTAACAGAGAACAATGCACAAGGGAGGGGGAGAACTGGCTGAAAAATGATGTAGGCAGGAGAGTGAATTAAAAGTAGGTGTGAGGAGATAGATGTCAGGGTGAGGCAGCTGAGCTGAGAATAGGCTAAGCTTGATCAGGATACCAAATCTGATTTGGGTTCAGGGATGTGGAAAAATGACAAAGTCATTGTTTAAGAATTATTCTACGTTGAAATTTTCTCAAAGCAGCGAATGAATCATGAAGAGGATGTACATAAGACAAGGCTGCAGGGAGGTGCATGCAGTTCCCCATCATTTCCAGTGCATGTCTGAGCTTCTGTATCGTGGTGTGGAGTAAAATATCTTCCGGGCTGTAAAGCGCAGAACTGGGAGTTCACTGTTTTTATACCTGTGGTAAGATGAGCACCAGAAGAAAAGTTAATGTATACATTAAAGTGTCAGGTATTTTTCTCGTTGCTGAGACAAAATACCCAACACCCAAAGTTCAAGAGGGAAAGGTTTATTTAGCTCGCAGTTTGTAGAGGTGTCAGTCCATCGTTGGTTGGCTCCAAGGCAGGGTGTCTTGGCAGAGGGGCATCGCAGAGGACAGTTTATGGCAGGTGGAAGACAGCAAAACAAACAAGCAAGGGACCTCAGCAGCTTCTTTCTGCCCCTTTTATCTTATCCAGGCTACTTGGGGCGGGCAGCACTCACACCCTTCATCCTAGTGCCCTTGATCCTAGCACTGCGCCATGAATCAATCCCAGCGTCACACACTCTAGATCCAGCCACCTCTGAAAAAGCCCCACCTGTGACCGCAAGAGACTTTGGGGGACATAGCAGACACAAGCCATGACACGAGGTAATACTTCTACCTCTCAGCACGTCACATCTGCTGTTTAGATTTTGGGCCTTGTGGTTCTTGCTGAGCCTATACGGAGTCAGTTTCTTTTATGGTCCCGCAAGGTCTAGGTTTCACATTTTTATCCCATCATAAAGTCTATGGAGATGGTAGAAATATTGAGGGACTATTGATATCCATTTTTCTGAAGTTCAACTCTCTGTGGTTTAGCTTTCCGAGGTTTCAGTTATTGTAGTCAACCATTGTCCAAAAGGACAGTGCAATATGTGATATTTTGACAGACCACATTCACAAAACTTTTATTATAGTGTTATAATTGTTCTATTTATTATTGGTTATGTTGCTAGATCTTCCTATGCCTAATTTATAAATCAAACTTTATCATAGCTGTATAGGTATCGAAAACACCCATCGTATACATAGGGCTCTGCACTATTTTCACTTTTAGGTATCTACTGGAGCTTTGGAATGTATCTTCCACAAATAAAAGGAAACTTCTGGTAACTGAAAAATACATACATAACAGTGACTAGAAATCTTGGAATCCATCTTATCACATTAAAGCTACATTAGTGTTATGAGGAAAACAGGTCAGAAACAGGAATTCTATAACTTAATAAAACATATGAAAACTTACAGTATATCTGAAAATGAGTTTTGTATCAGTAGGAGAAGAGGCAGCGGATAAGTGGTAATATGTAAAATGGCTAAAATTTGAAAATAAAGGGATTATCTTATTGTACAAAAATTAATTCTAGATTAATTAACTATGTGAAATTAGCCAAAATTGATTAGTATTAGGCAAAAACATGAGGCAATCTTTTATGTGAAAGGCAGAAGGAATTAATTTGATTACTTGACTGTTGGAAGCTTCCATATAAGCAAATACAATAAGCAAAATTAGAGACATGGAAACAACTGAAAAAGGTATTTTAAACAAATTCCAAATTTTATTTTTTTACATATAATGGATCCTAAAATATAAGAATAGAGAATTGCTTTAAATTAGGTAAATGAGATGAATGGCAATTGACAGAATATAACTGGTTAATAAATATAAAATTACCTCATGGGTGTCATGAAATTTAAGACCTAATATTGTCAGAATTTACATGACGTAACACTATTCAGAGTTGGTGCAGAAGATAGGCTATGGGAGTACACAGATGTTTGTTGTGATGTAAATTGATATAATCTTGGTGAAGAAGAAAATCTTGTTAATCTAGGGAAAATGGTTGATCTCAGTTTTATATAAGATATCCATACACGTTTATGAATATTCAACATAGCTAGCACTTAGTGTTTATTCAGTACTTGACACTGGTTTATAAATGTTA